ATTTTTGTCTTTCTTATCAACAATTGTTAAGTCTGGATGATGATGATGATGATGATGATGATGATGATGATGATGATCTGATCTGCCTTTCAATCGTACTTTTCCTTTGTACCATAGCATGGGATACTCCTTTTCACATACTGCCTATAGCCTTAGCAGCTATAAGAGTATTTCCTCCAACAGTCCATTTTATCTCAAGATCTCAAGAGGTTGTTTAAAGTGGAAGGAATAGTTTTCTTTTCTTTTCTTTCCACAAAGTCTTTAATTTACACTTGAAACTTGTTATATTCTTTTGACTCCCAAAGAAATGATGGATTTTCTCTTAGCATGTGCCTCAAACTCACCCTAGAGTTACAAGAGGAGGTGTCATAGATTTGACTTCATTTTTATCATTCTTATAATTCTGTGATTTGCCACTACACACTGTGGGATTCAGATCTGCCCCACATACCAGGCTTAAGGGAAAGGATATTACTTACACAAGAAAGTGGTAGCCTTGAAAGCACTACAAAGCTGCTGTGCCAAGGCAGAGAACCAGGCCTTGTGGTTTTATGGATTCTTATCTCAGTAAGTAAGAAGGGATTTACTGGGACATTCAGATTTTGTCAAACATCTGGAGTCCAATTTATGGTAAGTGCTCTACCTGACAGATGTAAAAACACCACTTTTCTCAACAGCCATCGAAAGAAGTATCAAGTTACCAGAGAGGAAAAATAAGACATGAAAAACATTCAAAAGGAAATAAAACCAGAATAGTAAAATACAAAGGTCACATATATAACCCTAAACTTATTTCTCCTTTAATATCATAGTTTGGAGTCTTTACTGCTTACCATACATACTCATGGATAAGCCCTTTGACGAATAAGCCGACCCTCAAATTTTCAACCCAAATACCATTAAAAATGTGCCACCTGCATTTTATATGGTATTTGGGTAAAAAATTCAAGTGTCTGCTTTTCTGAGGATGAGCTTATCTGTGAGTATATATGGGATATATGGGTACTTTTAAAAAGTATTACTGTATATATTTGTGGATAAGCCTATCCACGGATAAGCCAAATCCAAATTTTGGGGTGTATTTTGGCACCTAAAATTCTACAATTATATGCACAAGTACTTTTAATAATGATTGTTTTTATATTTTTATTGTGATTGTTTTTTATATATTTGTTGTTTTCTTTTATTGTTGCATGCCACCCAGAGTCACTTCTTGTGAAATGGGCAGAGATATAAATTTGATAAATAAATAAATAAATAACTTAATTAATAAATATACAGTACTCCATGAACAAGAGTAAGTCACTCCTGATACCAGTGGGCTTTGGCAATAATTCTGGTGTGTTGAAGCTTTCTTATTGTTTTGTTTCTTTTGGTATAATAATTTATAGTAAGCGTTCTCAATCATTACATTGGAATTTACAGTATGTCCACTGTTGGCAGAGATGGAACATTTATTTTGTCCTGCTTGGATTTTAAAACAAAATGTTTCATAATTTACTATGTTCTTCCTGTTGGGTTTATTTGTACTTTCTGATGTGAGCTATATTTCAGATCGTATTTTACAAGAGGCTGATCAATAATAGTAGATTATTTCATTTTAAATACAAATCTGCTATGTTCAGAATTTTTTAAAAAATCTTATAGCTGTTTTCTTGCAAACTCGGGGAAGAACATGATTGTAAAATGTAGCATATAAATATCTAAAATAGTAAATAAACCAGCCTGATAATGACCTGGAGAATTTGATCCATTAGATTCTGCCTTCACATAATCTATAATCAACAAGATTTCTTCAGCTTCTAATTTAGAAAGCACTACATTTGATTCGTAAATAAATATGAGATGTTCTTTGTATTTGTTACTGCAAAATACAGTAATAGTTTCTGATCCAACTAAAGCACAAGCATTTAAATATATAAGATGATTTGACTGGCCCCAATCCTGTTAGCCTACGGGAAAGCTTTGGAGGTCTATCTGTTCCCTCCAGCATTGTGGCCAGGATGTTAGATGAGCTCATTCTGGGAAGGGGAGTACATGTTGGCATACCCTGACTATGAGTTTTTGATCTTGTCATTGATTTATTGTTGCTGGGATATTGTGATTTTTTCCAGAATTGCATTTTTATGAATTGGGCAGCTATATAAATCTTTAAATAAATACCTGGCCACTCTTAACCCAGTCACCTCCTTCCTTCTCATTGTGTCTTCCTCTGTCTCCAAAAACCTGCTATGTTATCTCATAATAAAATGTCAATTGCATCTTTGTTGACCCTAAAGAGTTCCAATAATTCAGGTGTGGCCTAGATTGTGGAAATACGATATTGAGTTGTACGACCTTCTCATTTCTAGTAGGGCAAAGAAGGAGCATGCTCTGACTCTTCTCACTTTGTTTTGAGGACCAGAAGTAAGATCACAGTTGGTTGAGGGGATTTAAATGTTTCTATGCTTCAGCCTAAGGTCCCAATGCAAATAGCTTAGTTGGAGGCCTCTGCTTCATATGACATATGACACCTAGTACAGTTTTTTCCTTGTTCCAAGAGGAAAGGAATGGTTTTTGGAGTACATAAAAATGTTTGGGCATGAAGCATGGAGGTCATCACCTACAACCCAAATGCACTTCAAACGCTTCATGGGATGTGCAGATTTTATCATTTAGATTACAGCATTCAGTTGTTGGGAAACACAAACCCATGATGGGCGATAGAATTCTTCTGTGATCTGAGTTGCTCTCCAGCCTTAGATGAAGGAGAGCCATTCCTTGATGTGCTAAGAAAAAATACATCAGTTTTATATTAGCAAAGCTGGAGATTAATGTTGTATAGTGAGCAAAACTGAATGAAAACAACAGAAGGCAACGCTTAGAATAAGTCCATACCTAATTATTAGAGTTACCTAATTAGAAGGAAAGTTTGGAGATATATTTGAGAAGTACATGCATTTTTCTGATACCTAGCATAGCCATTGAAGTCTATGGCTCTTTCTCACCTTCATTTTCAGGTTCAGATGAAGTCAGTTCAGCCTTTATTTCAATTCTTCTGCCCAATCTGCCTTTCGTAACACTGCAGTCATAGAGATAAGACTTGTGGATGAATGCAGGTTAAAGTGGCATGAATCATGAATACACTGATTTCTCCATCTCTAGCTAAATAATTGATTTACTTATTCTGTAATCCATGTGAAGCCAGACTGAAATAGTTCTTTAGCTCCATCTGAGAAAAAAACAAATTATATCCTATACATTTTCTCCCAGCAGGAGTCCCTATACACCAGAACACCAAATTAGTAACTGACCATCGTGCCGAATTTTAGTGCTGTCCTTGCTGAATGCTAGAATGGAATATAACATATCACACAATGGAACTGAGAACTTCCACAACAGGACCAGTCTTCCAGAACATCGTGGCACAACTCCTCTAGGAGTGTTCTTGATGATCACCGTAACTCTACTTATCTGCCTTTTGGGACTTGTGGGAAATGGAGCCACCATCTGGCTTCTCAGGTTCCACATTAAGAGAAATAATGTCACTCCTTACTTCTTGAACCTCTCCATTGCTGACTTTGGGGTGCTCACAGGTCTCAGTGCTATTGATATATATTGGCTTATAGCCGAGGTTAGTCATACTGAATATGCTGATCCACTAAAGTCATTATTTCGGACTCTGTTCTTGTTCATGTACAGTACTGGTTTATGCATCCTGACTACTATCAGCATTGACAGGTGCCTGGCGGTTTTTTTCCCACTTTGGTATCGATTCCACCGTTTCCCACAAACTTCCACCATTGTATGTACCATAATATGGATCTGCAACTTCCTGTTTTCTGCTCTGCATATCACTCTCTTGTTAACCACTGGATATTACCTGCTAAGGTTCTACCAATTTCTCCTGAATGCCCTATTTCTCACTCCAGTTATGACTATCTCCACAGCAGCCCTTTCACTGAAAGCCTGTTCAATGCCTTCTCATCATAAGCAAGGAAAACTTTGGACTACCATCTTGCTCACTCTCCTCTTTTTTCTCTTTTTTGCTTTCCCAATGAATGCTGTTCAGTATCTCTCACTGTATCTTCCCCAGTTTGACAATCCTTATCTCTATGAGTATGCCTACATTTGTTCTTCCCTAAATAGCACCATTAACCCACTCATCTACTTTCTGGTAGGAAGAGACAAGAAAAGACCATCTGAAGTGAAAATCAGGATGATATTTGAGAAAGCTTTTAAGGAAGAGGAAACCCATGGAGAGGAACTTGAAGCCTCAGTCACAACCTAATTATGATGTATTAGCCAGATTCAGTGCTACAGAACCAAATATATAGACGAAATATATCTAGGGAACTTCTAGTCTTTCTAACAACAGAGGTTCCTTGATCCAGCCTTCACCTGCTAAGTCAAGGTATAGTGAAGGTTGGTCCAAAATCTGGAGAAGTTTAGGTCACTGTAGGCTGTAGTTGAAGGATCTATACTGTTAGAATTAAAATGCTTTACCCTCATTATTCAAAGACAAATTTTTAAAAGCATGCTTACACCAGAAATTACTTTCTCTAAAGCATGATAAGAGAAGAATGAATGGAGAACTTTTGGTATATTCCAGAAGTTAAAATAATCATAACACTAAGATGTCTATGGAGTGGTAAATTCTTTCAGCTGCTTGGTGGCATTAAACTTTTAGGACAGCAAGATTCCTGGTTAGATAGGAAAAAAACAAATGATTATGATTTGTCCTGTCTTCTCAAATAAGCTTTTATTTGGATATTATGGATGGTAAGCAAAACTGTGGCTGTACTGAAACCTATATGCTGTGTGAGCCCTGAAGGAAGCAAGGGCATCCATGGAGGGCATCCATGATGTCTGAAAGATGAGCATGAATAGGTGATTAAAGCCCCAGTCCTTTTTGCATGCTTGGGATGTTTGTGATGCACAATAAAAAGGAGTAGGATTTCAATTGCCTGCTTGTTCCCATCATTTTGACATCACTGATGGCCCCTTCAGACACCCATGGAAGGAAGCCATGATCTAAAGTACCATGGGTGTCTGGGGAATCTTCTTCCTTGAACATTTGTAGCATGAAGAAGTTGGAGAAGAGAAAGGCAGCTTCAATATTCTGCACAGGAAGTCCTAGTAGCACTGAAATGTTTTCTTCTGCACATTAGGAATAAAGTTGTAATCATAAGCATGCTAACTAGCAGTACATCTCAATAAACAGTTCACCTTAGTAAAGAAAATATCTGCCTTCTATTAGCTAAAACAATAATATATTCCAAATAAGTTATATAAGTGAGTTACAATCCACATTTCTAAAATATCAAAATAAATGTAGGTTTCATAGGGAAGTACAGTGTTTATATTTTAGCAGCTTCCTAAATTGGATTACTGCAACACGCTCTACATGGGGCTGCCCTTGAAGAGCATTGGGAAGTTTCAGCTGGTACAGAATGCAACTGCCCGGGTAGTAAACAGTGTCGGATATGTGATGTGCCTCACCACTACTGTGTGAGCTGCATTGGTTGCCGGTATGTTTCGGATGCAATTCAAGGTGTTGGTTGTCACCTTTAAAGCCCTTCATAGCTTGGGCTGGGTTACCTAAGGGACCATCTCCCAACAGTTTCTACCTGTCCAATTCAGTCCAGCAGGTTGGGCATGTTGCAGGTCCCCTCAGCCAAGAATGTCGGCTGGCTGGGACCAGGAGATGTGTCTTCTCTGCCATAGCCTCTGCCTTCTGGAACACACTCCCTTCAGAGACTAGGATGACCCTGACCCTGTTGGCCTTTTGTAAGGCCCTAAAGACCTGGTTATTTGCCCGGGCCTGGGGCCCTGAATGTGTTAAGGCCCCATTTCTCAGCTATACTGATAATTATGGGATAACTTTTCTTGACTGCCATATATATTCATTTTATGCTGTATTGTACTTGTTTTAATTGTTTTTATGATTGTTCACTGCCCACTTGGTTGAGATAGGTAGCTAAAAAAATCAAATAAACAAACAAACAAACAAATAAGGGTGGATTTTTGAGGGGGGAAGGAGGGGGAAGCAATCAATACACATTTGAGAAAGTCTGCTCATGAAATTAATTGTAACAATGTGGTCTCTGCTGCAATGTTAAATTACACTCAAACCACCATTATTTGTATAATAACATACTATTCCCCTCTTACATACTATTCCATTGAAAGGAAAAAACGTATTTTGATTTTTGATTTTCTTCATTTTTTTTCTTTCAAAAAGAAAATGAAATCAATTCATACCCAACAGACAGATAATTTAGATTATTAGAAGAAATTGTAATTTGTTGGCATTATGTTTGGCATTTCTGGGATGTGTTATCAATTTGCCACACAAAAAAAAGGTTCCCTCTAATTTCTGAACAAACATTGAATAATTATCTGGAAACAACCACTATATCACCTACACAGCACCCTTCAGATTCCAGGATCATTGCATGCTCTCACACTCTAGTTAAGAGAGTAGAAATATGGCTGAACCCTGCATAAATTGCATTGCAAGGAAAGAGATTGATGCACTAATATATGACTATCTGGTTTAAATGCAATTGATCAAAATTCTTTATAAAATTACTGAGGTGTTTTCAATGGCACAACCCTCTTTCACTTTAACTGCATCTAGTTTTGAGCAATTTGATTAGAAAATTGACCTAGGTGGTTGCTAAGAATCGATAACGACTTGTTGGCATGTAATCAATCTATCTATCTATCAATCAATCAACAGTTTGTCCATTGTATACCTTTTTCCTAACTTTGTACTTGTATATTCCCATTGGAATAATCCCTCCACATCCAGAAAGCCATAGCCAGTCAGAAGGAGAGGAAATATTTGAGAGTGCTACATATTATATAATTATACCATCTGGTAATTTTATCATTACTTCTAGGAGACAGATAATGCTTCATGGTGGGGACCATGAAAGTCCCCTTCTGCCAAAATACAAGTGAATACAGGACATTCCTACACTTTCATTCCCAGGGAGACATATACACAGATAGATTGATAGATAGATCAATCAATCAATCCTTGGCTGTGATTGTTCCCACACCACAAAACACCTTGCCCTTGGAGATACACGGGGCACCCAAGCTACTCGATTTTCATAAAACTGTTAAGACGGTATTGTTTCAATGGGCATTTGGTAGCTGATTTTTAATTTAGTTTATCCAATTTTATGGTAAGTGGGTCACTGTTTTAGTTTTGTTGGAGCTTGCTGATCAATATTGTTTTTATTATATTTGGATTTTTAAAAACTATTTCATTGTAAATTGCCTGGAGTCTTGGGAGCTGGGCAGTAACAAAATATAAATAATTTTTTATTTTTATTTTTATTTATTTTCTCATATAAATAAATGAGAAAATTAGGCTCCAACCCTAAACCCATCTTACACACATATTTAACTTAATATTTAAATATTCAGCGCTTGAAATATATTCATAGGATTTATTAGAGTAAAATATTAATAACATAGAAAGATTAATAGCTTTAACCATATTTAAGAGTAACTGTAATTTAATTAAATCGTATTTCATTTTGGCCTTGTTCCACTATTTTTTGGAGAGTGTGTCCCTGCTTCTCAAGAACCGACTGTCAACCTACCAACTTCCTCTTAGATGAAGAGTAAATCAGAAGAGCTTCTACTGGCAGGCATATTTGGAAGAAGTCATTGAGTATGCTGGTTCCCAACTGTCATAGGCTTTAACGCTCATGTTTAGAAAAAGAAAGTATAAAATAAAGACAAACACTAGCAGCATTAGTCTGTTAGAACATAGTCTTTCTTTTACAATAAAAATGATTCTGTGACATATTCTACCAGTGATTTAGTGAAGTAATTGCAGCAGGAAAGATTGAAGCTGAATAAACGTTAGGAAAGGTGAGATATGAGGAAGTGTGAAGGCCCATGATGCTTTGTGCTTATTGTTGAAAAGCAACAACATCAAAACACCCGCTTTGTTGTACACAGCACTGTGTCTGCTAAAGCATATGAGCTTTCAAGGTAAAAGAGGAAGAGCATTTGTGAAATTCATCTTACAAAACTCCTGATTAGCTTTGCAGTCTGCAAATATAAATTATGATCAAAATGTTTTTAAAATAGAAGAGTTTCATATTATTAACCTGTCGTTTTCATCCTCTCCCCTCCCATTTGCGCTTTTTGCCTTAGTAATCGCGGTTTTACTAACCTCTGCTATTCCACTGCCAGAGTTTATTGATGCTAATTAGCTACTTAATCAGGTACGACAACAACATTCCATTATTGTGTCTTATAGCAAAAAGCAACGAACCTGCTCATGTTTTTCTTTTTCTTCTTCTTTTTGTTACCCATATTAATCAGAAACTTATTATTGAGGGAAGCTAAACATAATGTGAATAATTGCCATATGTAAACTATAATTTGGAATACCGGAATTAATCCTTAGTCTTAAATTTCTTAATATTAACATACAACTGCATTTTGAAATTGGGGGTGGGGGGGGGGGAGCAAGGTGAAACAGTTTCTGTTTTCTATAGATGGGTTCGTGCGTGTGTGCGCTTTTACTTCTTGTTTCTTTAAAAAAATATTCTCACTTATTTCCATGCATATATATGCAAGAATACCCCATTCTCTTCTTTCATAGATATTATAGTGTTTATTTGTTCAGGGATTGAATAAGAAACTGACCAGGGAAGAAGTGGCATGCCATGTGGCGATTACTGGAATAGGATGGGATGAGCTTATGTGGTCCTTCTTCCTTTCCGGTTAGTCTTCTTCCAAGGCCCTGGATATTCCAGTGATAGATGTGATAATCTCACTATAATGGGATGATATATATTCCATTTATTATGGACAATTCACTTGGAGGTCTTAAGTTTAGCTCCAAATATCTGCAAGGTGGAAAGATCCACTTCAGAGCAATATGGGTCTGATGATTTTCTTATTACTTTAGGTAAATGCCCTACTGCTTCCTATTTTATGAATAGATTTTTCTTAGAAGAGTTTTTAAAAAGTCACCAGCAAATAGGCATAATTCACTTGCATCTCACTTCTCAGTTCTCCTACTTTCTCCCACTCAAATCCATTTGTCTACTGAGAAATACTCACTTAAAAACCCTGGCTGTTACTCTGAATTTTTTTTTTACAGGTAAATCAAAGATAATTGGACTTCAGAATACTTTTAAATTATAGTCTAAGAAAAGAATCTAGTTTAATGCATCATTTGCAATTTATGAGAAATCTTAAATATTGAAGAAGAAAAGATAATTGGACTTCAGAATACTTTTAAATTATAGT